GTGCATGGGGTTGTTCCTCCCCAGGTGCAGGACCCTGCATTTGGCTTTGTTGAACCTCATCAGGTTCCTCTCTGCCCAGCTTTCCAGCCTATCCAGGTCACGCTGAATGGCAGCACAGCCTTCCGGTGTGTCTACCCACACCTCCCAGTTTGGTGTCATCAGCGGGATGGCCACATCCTGCTCCTGTCTCTGGCTTGACAGGATGGGAAGTTCATTAGTGAAAATGTATGTTCGAGGCAGATCCTGCAGCAGCTGTGCTTCAGCACTCAGTCTGCCCAGGTCCTGGCCCTTGGACGCACCACTGCTGAGGCCGAAGCCTGGCTCCAGCTGCTGTCCAGACGGGACAGGCTGCGCTGAGCAGGGCACGGCCAGACTGGCGCACGAACCAGCCGCCCACCTACACACAACTGACCCCTTTGATCCCCTTACCCTGTATTCCCCGCTCTTGTTCCTCCCCAAATCACCAAGCCCCTTCCTGCTCCCACCTTTGGTTCCTCCCCTGAATATCCCATTAAGCCCTGTGCCGTCCCAAACTGCTTTTCCCCTCCACCCCGTAACACGTCCCAGCCCTTGGCAGCAACCTCCATAGTCCCACAGGTGACCCGGAGACCTGCTGCCCATGGCTTGTGGCAATGGGTGTCACGCCTGGGCACCTGCGCTGAGGCTCTGGTGATGCGCTGATGGCCTCCGGGACGGACCTGGGAGCAACCCAGCAGGGTAGGATCTGGGCTCCCCCTCCTGCTGTTGTCTCCGAGCCCCTGCAGGGGGGTGCAGAGGAGCTTTTATCACTGTCCCGCTCCACGGCACAGCCCGAGAGGCTCGCACCATCCCCTCTCCTCGCACAGCACTGTCCAGCCACCCGCTTCACCTCCTGGGAGGGCCACGCTCCCAGAGTGCGAAACTTCGTGCTGCTGACAGGTTCCTCCCAAGGGCGTTCTAGGTCTGTCGAGCCGCGGTGTGCCGAGCCCCGCACTCCCGCTCTCCTGGGAAGGGGCTGATGCAGGTTTCAGGGTATGCCTTCGGGGACTGCCCTCCTCGGCTGTCTCGGTGGAGTGCAGGGAGCTGTGCTGCTCCAGGCTGTGAGCAGCTCAGCTCCATCACCACCCCGGGTCACGGAGGGCCGGGTCAGCCTGCCCAAATGACAAGGAAACGGGTCCCTGCTCCTGGAGTTGGTGACTCGGCACCTGACCGAGACTCGTTTACAGGGCAGTCCCTGTCCCACACAGCCCACGAGAAATCCAGCAGCCCTGTCTACATCACTGCAGGACCGTGCTGCAGGAGGCTGCGGCTGGCGGCAGGGCTGTCACGCTCCCTGGCTCCTTGCTCCAACCCTTAGTCACTGGTGGCCAGCAAAGGGGTTCTGTCCCTCAAACTGCAACCCGTGCGCTGCCCTGCTCCGTGCACGTCTCTCCCCTGGCCCTTGACATGCAGCTGTTGACAGACACCAGCACAGACCCACGCAGCTCCCAGGTCACCCAGCCAACAGCACGGACGGGCCCTACTAACCCAAACCCAGTTTCTAAGCGTTTCCCTAGCACAGCTCCGATGACCGCAGCGGCTGTCATCGCCTTGGCTTCCCGGCTCTAACCCATAGTCCCTGATCTCGATAAAATATTGCACCTCGAACTGCCAACTCCTACCTCTTACTGCACTGCCAAGTCCCACACAAACTCCCCCAAACCTGCTGGCACAGGGACAGATGTCTACGCAGATACAGACCGTTTGCATTAAACAATACAGAGACTGCTAACTTCACCATTTCCATCCCCAGAATGGCCAGTTAATGAATTTAGTGCCAGATGAGAGACCAGTCCCCTGTCAGGAATCCTTTGACTGCCTGGGGACCGCGCGGGCAGGCAGAGGTACCTGCTGCTTCCCAGCACTTCCTTCCACCCCCAGTCTGCACCGCCTGCATGCCCTGGGGAGCTCACAACGGGCACTCAACAGATGTTTTCATCTTTCAGGGCAACTGGACACAACCAGTTCTGGCTCAACCCATCACAGGGTGCCTTTTGTTCCCTGCAGAATTTTAGCACGATTAACACAGAAGTATCAAATGAACCTGATTTGAATTGATTACAGGTATGGGAAGGGGTGTTTTAGGTGACATGAGCATCCTTCCCCTCCCCAGACAGGTCCTCTCCTGCAGCAGAGGCTGACCATGCTCACCACGCACCCAGGAGGGATGTCCTGGCTGCCCCAGTCTCCAGCGGGGCCAGAGCTGGTCCCAAGCATCCCCGGGAGCCCAGCTGTATTCCCTGCGGGGAAACTGCACATCTACACCATACGCCTTCTTCACAGTACTTACACATCCCAATATTTACTACATTAACAGTTAAAGCTCCACTTCAAAGGAGGAACTAAAAAGGGAGGAGTTACAGAGGAGGAGGAGGAGGTCTGTATTTCCAAAAGTGTTTCCATGCCCAAAGATGCCGAGGAGCGCTGCAGCAGTGCTGCTGCCGCAGGAGAACCACGGAGCCTACGACAGGGCTGCCAACC